TTTTTTTCCTTTTTTTTTTTTTTTTTTTTTTTTTTTTTTTTTTTTGCTAAGTATTAACCTGGCAAATACATTTCCTAATCATGAGCCATGCTGATTAACTCTTCCCTGGCGACTGCATAGTGCTCTTCTAATATAGGCCTCCAAGAAATTTCCCAAGTGTTAGTATAGAACTTTTGCATCTGTATTCAAAAGAGAAATTTGTCTATGCTTTTAAAGAATATTCTTCTCTGTTTTAAAATTTTAGAGTAAGGGTGGTACTGGCCTTGCAGAATAGACTAGAAAACTTAAAATCTTTTCCCATGCTCTGGACTGATTTAAATCACATAGGTGTTGCTGTTTAATAGAACTTAGTGATCTCTTTGGGCCAGCTTCCTTGGCTGTTGCTCTGGTGAGTTTCCCAACAGCCCTCAAGTTCCTCTGGGTAGTGAATTTTACCTGTCAGCTCCTTCATAGCGGGATTTTCCAATTTATTGGAAGACAATTTTATAGATGTTTAAAATGATTTTGAAAGATCTTTATATCTAGAGTCACATTCATTTTCTCATGTGGTTTGGTTGTATTTCCCCCCTTTTTTCTCAATCAGTGTTTTTAGCTTTTTTGTTATTTCATCGTTTTGCTTTAATCGTCACTCTTTTCACTTCATCTTCACTTTATTTTATTTATTTATTTTTTTATTTTTTTTGAGATGGAGTTTCACTCTTGTTACCCAGGCTGGAGTGCAATGGCACGATCTCGGCTCACTGCAACCTCCGCCTCCTGGGTTCAGGCAATTCTCCTGTCTCAGCCTCCTGAGTAGCTGGGACTACAGGCACGCGCCACCATGCCCAGCTAATTTTTTGTAGTTTTAGTAGAGACGGGGTTTCACCATGTTGACCAGGATGGTCTCGATCTCTTGACCTCGTGATCCACCTGCCTCGGCCTCCCAAAGTGCTGGGATTACAGGCTTGAGCCACCGCGCCTGGCCCATCTTCACTTTAATGAGAGTGTGATTTATTTGGTTTCTTTTCCTGGTTCCTTATTTCATTTGGTTTTAGTCTTATTTTTTAATAAATGCACTTACAGGCTGAAACTTCAGAGTCTGGAATGGCTCCTCCTCCTCACATCTGGTCCATCAGCAAATCCTGTTAGCCTCACCTGGGACATGCACACAGATGCTGAGAACAGAATGCCACTTCTGCACCCACCCTGGCCCAGGCTGTCTGCGTCTCTCATCTAAATCATTGTGACAGCCTCTTAATGGGCCTCCTGCCTCCAGCTGGGTCTCCTTTCAGGCTACACCCAACACAGCAGCCTGAGTGAGCCACTTCCCCTATAGAGGTTTATCCTATGTAGTACTATATCCTATGTTTATCCTATGGTACTATAATAACATACTTTTAATTTAGGAAAACTTACAGGGATCACTTTGCCTTACTTCTCAACAATTACAAGAAGAACTGTGTGTGTGTGTGTGTGTGTGTGTGTGTGTGTGTGTGTGTATGTATGTGTGTGTGTATAGAGACAGAAAAAGAGCATGCACAATAGAGAGAGGGCACGTCACTCCAGGGACTGTGGCTCTGTGGCTCTCGTTGTGAGGGTGACAGGAGCTGCTGGAGGTTGGTTCTGAGCAGATCCTCACTCTGGCGATAGGGGTGCCCTGTCAGGGACTGGAGCCCCACCAACTCAGATCGGTCTACCTTGGAGCCTCTGTTAGGCTGCTCCTTCTGGGTCTTTTGTCCTTGGAGGCTCTGACCTGGGTCAGAACCCTGCTGTGAAGCCCTTCAAAGGCCACTCTGCTTCTAAGGTGAAGACATATTCCCTGGGCTGTTTCCCAAGCCATGTCCAGCCGTAATGCCCAGCCCAGCACATCAGAGCTCCTGCAGTGAGGTTGGGTGACAATATACTGCAAATACATAAGAAACTCATAATGAAATGCCAGCAACATGGAAATGTACTGGATGTGAATGCAGACCCTCGAGTCCCAGGGAGAAATTACAGGCCAAGATTAATTCTGTAATCAAATTCAAAAGCTTCGAAGACCAAAGGAAGATATGAAATCATATCCCATGACCTCATGAGCTCAGAAGCCACCTCCCCTACTGTTTTTTGGGGACAGGTGTCCATGCATGATCCAGTCTGGGTTCACGCAGCAGCCTTGTCCTCGCTGTGTCTGAGATGTGTCATACAGGTGTCCTTGTAAGTCCTTTGGGGGCCTCAAACACTGCTTCATCCCCACACAGCCTTCCTGGAGCCTCAGTTAGACAAATAGACAGCCTTCATCCCTACAGAGTTATCCCAGGCAGAGTAATATCAAGGACCACAGCAGAGCCCAGAAATGTCCGAGCAAAGTTTGATAATCAGGGAACAACTCCTTGCTTTGGATCTCCTATTATGCAAGAAGGCTACCTTGATTGTCTTGAATTCATGACCTCAGGATGTAGGCATAGTTGGGAATTTAACTTCTTAGGTAAAGGTTAATTTTGGTCCTAGGCATTTACCATTTTAATGTTTGTTTCTTCTCATGGCTTTGACACTCTTTAGTTTGGAATTGATGGTGGCCCTGTTAGTGAAAGGTACCCGCACTTTTCCGTAATTAGGTATTGGATCCCCCAGTACTTCTGCTACAAAGTTCCAGGCTTGAGACAGTTGCTTCCAATAAATGAATACCCCCCTCAGAGGTAGACATTACCTCTGGGCAGTTGCAGACCCAAGCAGAGAACCCTGATAAGGGGAGCCCAAAGCTTGGGAAGAAGCCACAATAGCCCAGGTCTGCCTTTCCAGTTCCCTTCATGACCTTGAATGTGGCTTGGAGTCAGACCTAGGCCAAACCCTCCAACTGTGAGAAAATCAACTGCCAGGGTCCAAAGGGCCTGTAATGTGCCCATTTGCTGACAAAACAGATCTTTTCATCACCAAGTCACTTAAGACATATCATTCCCAGAGCTACCGGTCTGTGCCAACGCCCCCAGAGCCCTTGCCTCAGCTTTCCAGGTACCCTTGAGCCAGGTGTCTGCTGCTGTGTTGTCCCAGTGGTGGTTCACTGGCACTGGCCCAGCCTCTGGGGCACTGAGGATGCCAAAGAACTCCTGTCTCTGTAGAAGCAGCTCTGTACTCGAGGACGTAGCCATCATGGATGCTAGCGGCTTCCAGAGTCACACTCCCAAAGGCTGTAGGCACAATCCTGCACATCCAGATCAAGCTCCTCTAGCAGGTGGTGGCTCCAGCCTGGCCCCAGGCTTATTTTGAACCCCTCAATGCCACTCATATGCTTTATTTCTTGGTGTCCCAGCCTGTAACACACTGTTGGGGTTTCTATCAGCAACAGCCTCCTGCCTGCTCATGTTCTGAACAGATTGAAAGTAGAATGAAGAGGAAGCCTGGGGATGAGAATGCCTCCTTGGTGGCACATGACTGCCTTTAGGGGATGTGCTTAGATGGGCTGGCCTAATGGTCAGTGTCTAGTGCCCAGGCCCCATACTGGTCCCCAGAGGTCGGCTGAGCTCCAATCCAGTCATGGCCACACAGGGCAAGCTCTGGAGAGCAGAGAATATGGACTTGCTCCCAGCCAGGCCAAGAGGCAATGGTGCATGACTTTTGTTCTCCCCATTTTTCTTTCATAGCATACTTTTTTTGGCATAATATTTTTCTGTCCCATCCCTGCAATTTACTCAAATACTAGCATGGGCAGTGGTAGGCATGACAATAATAATAATGATAATAATGACTATAATTTCCTGTACACTCACTGTGCCGAGCTGTGTACTAACCTGTGTGCACCCTTGTAACCATCCCAGGACAACTGTCCTGTTGTGTCAGAACAAACTGGGGCACACAGAGGTGGTGCGAGCCTTCTTGGCCAGTGGCGAAAGTCAGTGAAACATTGTCCAAAGGGGCATGGACAACAGTTTTTGCAGCTACATAGGAAATCTGCAGTGAGGCACTCTGGTTTGTGGCCGTCAGGGCCTTAGAAAGTTCTGCTGGAGTTGAGTTCATGGGTGGTTAGGCTGCAGCTGAGAGCTTGCCTGCTTTAAACATGCAGCACGAGTGTATTTAACATGTGCTTAACCTGCAGCTCTGGGTAGAAGGAATGCTGGGACTTAATATTTAAGAACAACTTGATTATATCGCCATAGGAGCCCAGATGTCGTTTTATAGATATGCTTGTGTGTGTGTGTATGTGTATTTAATGTGTTTATTTTCCCTGGCTAGCATAATTCTTCCTGGGACCTTTACCCTTTGATCTGAACTGGAAAAAATGTTACCATTTTAAGATCTCTTAAAACATGTCTTTGGATTTATCATCTGTACAGATGGAAATTCACATAATAGTTCTATTCTTAACAGAAGAAAAACAGGAAAAGAAAATAAATTTCTTGCTACTTGGAATGATAAACAAGGAGAAGCATATGCTGTATATCCTGGCAATAGAAATTCAAGGTTGGAAATAATTCCTGTCCTCCTGAGCCTGCCTTCAGCCTCCCTGAGGAGTGCAGTGACTGAAATTTTCTACTAATTGTAGCCATAATTTTAGCATGCAATTAAACACATGATTTCCTTCCCAGCTGATGTTTTTTTGGTTAGTCTGACATGGATGAGGCAAAAGCTCTGTTGATTTGAATGACCACTGTAAGCTGATAGGAGGTCAAAGAAAGTCATTATTTGAGCACCTTTGGCTACCCAGTAGGATCTAGATTAATCTTGCTTATAAACATGGCCAATGGCTTGGGTGCTTCTAATACAATTTTCAAGTGTTACTGTCTGTAGGCCAAATAAAGCTGTCTGTTGGCATGCTCGTTTTGCTGAGTCCCTACAAAGGACCACTGGTAGAAAAGACTCAAGAGATGGAATTTGTGAGGTCGTGGTGGCAGGAACAGAGACTCATGGTGGTCACCCAGGTTGCAGAAGAACCTCAGGGTGTGAGACCTGCCTGTGTCCCCGCAGGCCCAAGAGCAGCGCCTTCCATGGAGGGAGATGGAGGGCTTTATTGCATACAGTGCAAACATGGCCTTCCAGAATGCTCTGTGTTTGCCTTCCCACAATGTACAGTCCTGGTAACCCATATTCTTTCCCATCCTTGGTGTTACCAGACCATTTATTTCTAGCCAATTCTGTTGGGCATGTGGCAGCATCTGTGCTGTTTAATCCTGCATTTCCATCCCTCCTTACAGGGCTGGCAAGTTTTTCCTGTATTGACTGGCTGATCCTCCTCCCAGTCAACCTCCTTCTCCAGTGTGACCCAGGTTTTGTATCATGCTGATCTAGGTGTGTGATATGCTTTGGCTGTGCCCCCACCCAAATCTCACCTTGAATTGTAGCTCTCACAATTCCCATGCTTTGTGGGAGGAACCTGGTGGGAGGTAATTGAATCATGAAGGTGGGTCTTTCCTGTGCTGTTCTCATGTTAGTGAATAAGTCTCACAAGATCTCATGGTTTTGAAAACAGGAGCTTCCCTGCACAAGCTCTCTCTCCTTTTGCCTGTTGCCATCCATGTAAGATCTGACTTGCTTCTCTTTGCTTTCTGCCATGATTGTGAAGCCTTCCCAGCCATGAGGAAATGTAAGTCCATTAAACCTCTTTCTTTCGTAAGTTGCCCAGTCTTGGGTATGTCTTTATTAGCAGCGTGAAAATGAACTAATACAGTGTGCTTTTGGATAGAGTAATCTGGGGTCTCCATCTTTGATAACTGTTTGGATTGCTTTTTCAGATGGCAAGTTTGGGGCCTACATGCAGGTGCACATTCAGAACGATGGGCCTGTGACCATAGAGCTGGAATCGCCGGCTCCTGGCACTGCCACCTCTGACCCAAAGCAGGTAAGCCTGGAATCTGGTGCCTGGCTCTGTCCGTTGGGTGCCTGTAACATCTCTTTAGTCCCTGGAACAGTCCTCGGTCTGAGGAAATACATCATTCACGTAACCTATTTATTTTAATACCTGCCCTCCCAAGAATTGTGTTTACAATGTACTCCTGCGCACTGTGGTGAGTGCCTTCTCCTGCCTTTGAATTCCAAAGGACATGTCCTGTGCAGAGCCACGTTCTTCCTCTGGGCTTCTCTTTCCCTATCCAGGTACCATGGTGCCCACCCGCCCCTGGGTGGCAACAGAGCAATGGCCCTAGATTGGCTTGGTAACCCATTCCAAATGGTTACCTGAAGTGGGTTTGGTCTCAGGTGTGGGTAGATGTAAATCCCCATTTTTCTAGAGCAACGTCTGACCTGGGTTTGCTGCCAATTTGTAAGCTTTCATAAAGAAAAGGAATTAAAGTAGAGAAAGGAAATGTGTAATAGTCCTTGGAACCCATGTAGTCTCACAGATGCTTAGCACACTTGTAAATGCTTAATTAATGTACTCACTGGATAGAGACACGTAGGGCCTGGCAGGCTGTGATGGGCAATGATGCAGTGGTAAGGGGGCAGCACGATAGAAACTTGAAGCTGGGCACCTGTTCAAAGCCAAGTTGTTTCAAAACCAACCTGTTTAAAGACAGGGTCTTGCTCTGTCACCCAGGCTGGAGTGCAGTGGGGCAATCATGGCTCACTGGAGCCTGGACCTCCCAGTCTCAAGTGATCCTCCTGCTTCAGTCTCCTGAGTAGCCGGGACTATAGGGATCTGCCACCATGCTGGGCCCAAATTTGAATTTTTGTAGAGAGGAGGTTTCACTGTATTGCCTAGGCTGGTCTTGAACTCCTAGGCTCAAGTGATCCACTAGGTAGGGCCTTGGCCTCCCAAAGTGCTGAGATCACAGGCAAGAGTCACCATGCCTGGCCAAAGCCAGATATTTTAAGTTGAATGTAATCTTTTATTTTTGTTTCTGTATTATTTCATTCCTGTACTGCTATAAAGAAATATCCGAGACTGGGTGATTTATAAAGAAAAGAGGTTTAATTGGCTCATCATTCTGCAGGCTATATAGGAAGGATGGCTGCAGAGGCCTCGGGAAACTTAGAATCATGGTGGAAGGTGAAGGGGAAGCAGGCACATCTTCACATGGCCAAAGCTGAAGGAAGAGAGAGCAGAGGGAGTTACTACACACTTTTGCACAACCAGATCTCATGAGAACTCACTGTCACATGAACAGCAAGGGGGAAGTCTACCCTCATGATCTAGTCACCTACCACCAGGCCCCTCCTCCAATGCTGGGGATTCCAATTCGACATTAGATTTGGGTGGAGACACAAATCCAACCATAGCAGTTTCTGACGCTCTTTGTATTGAGGAACATGTCTGATGCAGTAGGCTAGACTTCAGCGGTAGTAACTGAGGGTCCTGGAATTACTAATGACATTAAAAAAAATCACAAATGGTGGGGTGCGGTGGCTCACGCCTGTAATCCCAGCACTTTGGGAGGCCGAGGCGGGTGGATCATGAGGTCAAGAGATCGAGACCATCCTGGTCAACACGGTGAAACCCCGTCTCTACTAAAAAAATTACAAAAAATTAGCTGGGCATGGTGGCGCGTGCCTGTAATCCCAGCTACTCAGGAGGCTGAGGCAGGAGAATTGCCTGAACCCAGGAGGCGGAGGTTGCGGTGAGCTGAGATCGTGCCATTGCACTCCAGCCTGGGTAACAAGAGCGAAACTCCGTCTCAAAAAAAAAAAAAAAAAAAAAAATCACAAATGAAAAGTCCACCTGAAAATGTAAGCATTTTATTTTGAAATAATTTGAGACTTACAGAAAAGTTGAATAAAAGAGTTTCCATATACTTTTTTATCCAGCTGCCTCCAATTTCAATGTCTTACATGACCATAACACGATGATCAAGACTTTGAAATTAATGTTGATACAGTACTATTACATTAACTACATTGCAAACCTTATTTGAAGTTCACTAGGTTTCTTAAATGTCCTTCTTCTGCTCCAGGATAATGCAGGATTCCACACTGCATTTAATTGTCACTTCTGCTTAGTCTTCTACAATCTGTGACTGTTCCTCAGCCTTATCTTTTATGACATTCACACTTTTCAAGAGCACTAATCTACTATTTTGTAGAATTTTCTCACATTGGGTTTTCTATGATTATATTGAGGTAGTGTATGTTGATAGGAATAGGAAATAGCACAAAAGTGATCTTGTGCCCTTCGTGGTGCATCCTACCAGGAGGTATGTGGTATTAATTTGTCTTATTACTGGTCATACCAGCCTTATCACTTGGTTAAGGTGAAGTCTACCAGATGTCTCCATGTTAGATGAAGTTCTAACCTCTCTCCCCTTGTCTGTCCCTGGCTCATTCACAGCAGACAGCTTTCTTTTGGCTTTGCAGGAAAATAAGCTAGCAGATGGCATTGACCCTGCTTCTCCATCCCCCTCCTACCACCGTGGTAGCAGAGCTGCCGTTTCCTGGGCTCAGGCCAGCCTCTCACCTGGGCCAAGACCACCTACATAATTTGAGAGGCCCAGTGTAAAATGAAAATGTGGGGCCCCTTGTTCAAAAATTACTAAGAATTTCAAGATGGTGACAACAGGGCATAAAACCAAAGGTGGGGCCCCTCTGAAGATGGTGCCCTGTCTGACTGATGGGTTGCTTGGCTGTGGGGCTAGACCAGCTTGGGCTTTGGAGCTGTCCCCTCCTACCTCCTCAGCAGCTTCACAGAAGCCCTCTGTATTCTTGTCGGGTCAGTCTGCCTCTCACAGTCATCCATCTTACCCCATTGGCTTTTAAATATGCCCAAATGTCTCCAGTTGAGAAATGCCTCCATTTCCTCCCTTCTGCTCTGCCTCAGCGTCCTTGGGTCTGTAAAGGCTCTTGCTGAGGGTACCAGTGACCTCACATTGCTTTATTTCGTGCCCATTTTTCAGAACCCCTTTCTTGCCACTGCTGCACACTTGCCCCTGGAAGTGGCTGGAGTCTCGTTTTCCGGAATGCCATTCTCTCTGGGTATTCCTCTTGCCTCTGGCTACCCCCTCTGGTTTTGTTTGATCTTTGTTCCATAGTTTTGATTTATTATTCTGCTTTAACTCTATCTGGAGAAAAATTTTAGTCTTTTTTTCATTCTAAATATTTTTCTGGAAATGGTAGAATAATACATTTTGCCTTTAGAATCTTCAGCTTTCTTTCAACCAGTACCCCTTCTTTTTTAGGCCAAAGGGTATAAAGATGCAGTTATTTCACATGAGTAAGCCTCGAGACCTAATGTACACCACGACGACTGCAGTCAGTAGTATCATATTGTGCACTGGGAATGTGCTAAGGGAGTAAATTTAGGAATTCTCAGCACGCACAGAATAAAGGACGGTAACTGTGTGAGATGCTAGACTGTAATTTACTTGACTGTAGTAATCACTTCACTGTGTGTGTAGATCAAAGCATCATGTTGTACATCTTGTTCCATAAACTCCCCTCCCTAAATCAAAAAATCCTCAAGTAGGCATTTTTTTAAACTTCTAATGAGCCATGTTAACTTATAAGGATAAAAAAGACTTTTATTTCTGAATCCTTTAGGAGTTTTCTCTTCAAATACACGAATTGTCTTGCATCAATTTCATTTATGTGGACTAGTTGCCTGACCCCCAGAAGCCTCAGACCCTGCACGTTGCATTGCGCTCTGCCCTCAGCTGTCCAGTAGGTGGCGGCGGATAGGCGCGGAAGGGGCCCGCGTTAGGTTGGTGCTGGCCAGTGCCTGGGGCCTCTCTCCGCCTTTTCTTCTCAATTAGAAGGAGCTTCCTTCCTCTTGGATCAAATAGCTAATTTGCTTGCTTTTGTGTTGACAGGAAGAGCACAGCCAAATTCTTTTTACTGATAGATAAACATGTGTTTCTATCAATTAAGCTTTTAATTCTGTGTTTTATTTTTCTGTTATATTCCAGTCAGTAATGAAAACTGCTACATTACAGAAAAATGGTTCTTTTGGCAGATTTCAACATTATAGAAAAATGATTGTTTTAGCAGGTTCTTTTAAAATATAAATAAGTTCTTTGAGCAAATGAACAATGTATGTGTGTGTGTATATGGATGTATGTGTGTATATGTGTGCATATGTATGTGTGCATATGTGTATGTGTGTGTATACGTGTGTGTTTGTGTATGTGTGTGCCCATGTGTATGTGCATGTGGGTGTGTCTGTGTGTGCATTCGTGTGTTAGGTAAGCATCAAGTGTCATTTTGGTATATGATGGTGTGCCGGGCACTGTGAGGAAGAGAAGGAACTGCTGCTGCCCAACCTGTGCAGCTGGAGATCGATTTTGGGCAACATAAACCTGAAGGGTTAATGACAGTGAAAGGGGTGGACAGCATAAGACAACTTAGGAAAGGTCACAAGACCATGCAGTTCATGCTCCTCCTTAGAACTCTTCAATGCCTTCCAAGTGCATTTTGCCGGAGCCTTGCACTCCTTGCTGTCATTTCCCAGGGCCTGAGTGACCAGGTGTCCGTGTCCCTCTCTTGCTCTGTGGCTGTCTTTCCCTCTATCCCTATGCTTCACCTACTGCATCTGCTGCCGCCTCCTCTGCCTTGCTGAGAAGAAAGTCAAGCTCTTTCTTACCTCGGAGCTCTTGTCTCAATTCCAGGGTCTCCTCCTTCTCTAAGATTCTCTGACCCCTGTAGTTCCTAGGAAGCCCCATCAGCTACACCGCCCTGTTGGTGTGATGGTTTATTTTACAGACTTCACACCATCTGCTATCATGGTCCACACCACTTGTAAAACTCAAGCTCCCTGAGTGTCATTCACTGCCCTGTCCCAGGAGGTGTGTGTGGGTGGGAGGGGTGGTGTTTGTTTAGCAGTGGTGCTCACAGCTGGTGGGCTGTGGTGTCTGTGAATGTCCCAAGTTCAGAAAAGACCATTGCCACTGCTGTTGCTGCTCAGCCGGGTGGGCCTCCCGGGGACTGGAGGTTTTAGCTGACTTTTAAGGATTTGGAAAGTAGAAGGGATTCCCAATTGCTGTTTTCAAATTTCTACTTCAAATAGGGGTAGATTCTTATTTTCAAGAGTCTCAGAGTTCTACTTATGTGATGCAGTTACTGCTGGTGAAGACTGGGCTGGTAAAGGTAACCAGCAGTTTGCCTTACTTAACTGGACTGCTGCTTGTTTGCAGAACTGGCTGCTGCAGCATCTGCATGTTTTCTGTACAGCACACCCATCACATTATAGGCTGTTGTGTGGGTTTCATACTCTGTCCTGGCAGTGAGAAGTTAGTTGGAAGGACAGCATTACATTCTTGCTCCAAAGGACATATTTCCAAAGGGAACAGGACATGGAAGCAGCAGCAGAACAAACTGACAGCTGTTTTTCTGTTGCATTTTTTTTTTTACAGGAGAACACGATTCTGGTAGGCACATCCTGATTATTATTGCCTAGTGTACAATTGCTGGTGCATGAGCTCTTACGTTGGTGGCTAGATATTGGGAGATTTTAATACCCTGGCCTGACATTTCTATGGTAGAAGTTTATATTTTCTTGTTTTAATCTTAAGTGCCCTTCCCCTGAGTAGGGCTTGTTTTTCTGAGCCTCACATGGATGGGGGAGCAGAAGGAGTTTTACCTGGTAAGGGGGAACATCTGGTAATTGAAGGACTCTTACGTGGGGACTAGGGCCCACCTAGGTCATAGCATTGCCATTAATTATTTACATTCTCATTTATTTAGTGCCACTGAAGATATTATTAAATGGAAATGCTTAAAGGAGCTAAAAAAAATGAACTTTCAAATATACATATTTGAATTAACTGACGTGTTTATTGACAAATCACTGGGATGAGTTGGCTAGCGAAACATGGTGCCTTTAATTTTACAGAGCCATTAATTTTATGCTCCTCTGAGTATCACCATTTCTTGTCCATAATTTTCTCTGTATAATTTTGTTATCAGCAAGCATTCACCCCTGTGCCTAGACCTTGGAATGTTAAGATTGTGACATTCATGGCTTCTGTAGGATCTGAAAGAAATATGTAGGGTAAGAGGGTGTGGGGGAAAATAATTCCACTAAGTTTCGTTTATTTATACTTCCAGTGACAGGGGCAGCCTTTTCATTACCTGCTGTGGAATCCAGAGGTGAAATGAAGGACACAGGAGCACACAGGTGGCTTGCTTCTACCAGGCGGCCCCATCATAGGTAGACAGAGGGGGACTCTCATTTGTTACATACTTCAGTTTGGGGGACCAATCAAATGAGAAGTATTCTGAATATGAGGAAGAATTATGTTGTTGCTAATAACTTTGCCTCTCTTCATGGAAGAACAGTTATTTAAATGTACTCCATTTAACTCTGTTTTTAGGCTTGAATTCTAGATTCTACCTCCCTAATTGCGGTTGGTTTCAGCTTCAGTGTTCACATGGCCTGAACCAAGCTCGAGGTGTTAACTTGCTGCAGGAGTATGTTTTAAAGTTGGGTTGCCAAGATGGTAGCCAGATCCTGTCAATTACTCCAGTCATATTAGTTCATTTTGTCATATTAAGTTATTGAACAAATGTTGACCGAGAGTCCAGCTTTGTTTATGCTGAAGTGTCACCAAAACGGAAGTGGCAACTCAGCAAAACTTCCTCATTACAGAGTTGTTGTTGCTGTTGTGCAGGCTTTGTCAGTGACACTGACTTCTGGGACCTAGGCCGCTGCGTGGAAGGCCTCTTATCAGGGCTAGGCTGCCATCTGGCCAGACTTCTTACCACACATGGAATCACACCTGGTTTTTTGATCCTTTCTGTCTGAACACCTGCTTTCTATGAATTATGAGATCAGCTCAACCATCTGGGGAGTGAGTTGGGTGTACAGGTGGGTGGGCTTCTGGCCTCACGCCTGGTCAGAATTTATCCTGAGTCCTTGTCAGTGCCTGCGGGAATGCCTGCCTATTACATGAGTATTTGGTATGGAAGGGTGGAAGCTTAGTAGATGTTTTTCTTCCTAGTGGAGAGCTGCAAGGGATCACTTTTATCATTTTAATTTGTTTCCAAATAGATGGTTGTCCTAAGTCAGCTCATGTGGACTTAAAGAGAAGACTTTATGAGGCTGGCATGACTGTCTCTCTGTTGGGGACTCACTGATGAGTTGATTAATCAATTAACTTTCACCTTACCATCTTAAATCCATAGCACAGGTTAAGGAAATTGCAAAAATTGGAAAGAGTTTTTTGTCTGCTATTGGAGTATGGCTGGTAAATTAAAAACTAGATCTGTTTCTCTTCCACCATTGACACGTAAGACATTTCTAATCTCCAACCAGAACAAAACATCTGTTTTGCTTTAAAACAATCTCTCAGGACACTAATGGAGCAGTGCCTTTAAAGCTTAAGGGCTTTATTTGTTTGTTCCTGTATATGTGTTTTGGGCAGATTCCTAGTTATTTTAATCTTATAATCTCATTTGTGTGTGTGTGTTAAAAAAACAAATTCTTTACCTTACTGACTTGACCTACCAAAGATTAACAGCATCCTTTTTATTCTCAAGGGAGAGAGGTAGAGTTTTTCCTTCTATGGATTTATTTTACTAAACATTGTACATAGCAATAATTTAGTTATACACACTCAATATTTTAATTGGGAATTCAGTCTTAGAAAAATATTCTTCTAGTCAGTGGTGTTTTGTAGAAAACCTTGCCCAAACATTTGCATTAGTAATGGAGAGAGAAGAATGATCTGGAAGTGATAGAAATCTAAAAAAATGCAGCTCTTGCTATAATTTTTTTTAAAGGTAGATAAAACATTCATCTACACAGAGATATTTGCCAACATGCTACAGTATAGGTATAGTCTGTAATGACTGATGAGGTAGTTACCTTTTTAAATCTTAGTCTCAGAGAAGGTTAGG